AGGGAAAGCAAAAAAGACAGAAATGCAAAATTAACTTTCCATGTCAGTTTCATAAACCAACGTGGAACAAAACTTAAAGCATCCGTTAAAAAAATAATCAATGTGAAAAGTTTTACATATGTTATTCTTTAAAAACTAATGTAAAAAGTTGATTTTTTGCATTAATTTTCTTAAAAAACTAATGTTGTAAGTGTATATATTTTAAAAAAACATTTTGTTACAAGATCAATAGTAATGTTAACTAAATCAACCCAACAAGTTAAATACTCAAGTTTATTCATACAACATTAAAAGACTTCAATTTAATAGAAATGACTAATTTAAGATAAGATTTTATTTAATTTTTAAAATTTTTGGCAGAGTTTTCCCTAATTTTTTAAGACCTCCCAAAATATAATTAATTGAAGATCAATGGCAATGTTAGCTAAATCAACCCAACAATCTAAATACTCAAATTTATCTATACAACACTAAAAAAGACTTCAATTTAATAGCAATGACTAATTTAAGATAATTTTTTTAATTTTAAAATAATTTTGGCAAAGTTTCCTTATTTTTAAGACCTCCCAAAAATACATAATTAATCCAGCATCAATAACAATGTTAATTAAACCAACCAAACAATCTAAATACCCAAATTTACCTGTACATATACCCAACTATCATAAAAAAAAAATTCAGAATTAAAATAAAGATTTGAAGGAATATATTCATTTATTAAAATACACAATTATACATATATTCAAGTAAATCAACCAATCAAAGTACCAATAGGCAATAAAAATTAGAGAGAATGATAGTTAGGTCATAAAGAAATGAATTAATGACAGTTAGGACCTCGGCAAATTTTTTTATAAAATGAATTATAAATATTATCAATTCAAATAGTTATAAATAGAAATTTCTGTTATAATCTAAGAGTTACATTTGATATTTAAATATTTATTTACAATTGAAGCTCTCGAGTCTATAATAATCTAGATTGATATTTTCAACTTATTTTTCAAAAAAAAAATTATCGAGGATCTAACTATCATTTATTAATTCTTTTAGGACCTAACTATCATTCTCCCTAAAAATAAATAAAAATAAAGACTTATGTAGAAGAATTAGCAGAAAGTCTCTAATGGAAAAGGATGAAAGAAAATGAGCAACACCCACACTTGTAAGTTGAAATGGCAAGGAGGAGACTATCACACCCCAATACTAAGGGCGTGATTGGCATGAAATATGAGGCAAACTCATATCCCATAAGCCTTGATTGATCAGAAACTAAGCAAAATATTTATATATGTAAGTTAAATATAGTAATAAAGTTTGTAAAGTTTTAAATATTTTGCAAAAATTTTGACAGAGCTTCCCTTATAATTTAGACCTCCCAAAATTTTCACAAGAACAATAGAACTTGCCAACAACCCAACAAGGAGACGAGCTCCATCCCAGCAATTGACATAGTAACTAAATAAGAATAGGACCTAACTATGGTGTATGTGAAGTACTAAGCTATGATTACAAAATAAAATACATAGTTTACCAAAATAATAATCACGATAGGCTTCCTCCGTTCAAAAAACAAAAGGTTCCCTCAACGATCTACTGGAGTTGCAAGGTTAGTTACAATATCTGAGATCAAAAAAATTTTCAGTGAGTAGCATTAAAATGAAAATTATAATTTAAAATACATATATACATATATAAAGGTAATAACTAATAAATTTAATTCAAAATGATTTAATGAAATCATGAAATATATACTTTAGCTAACAATAAATAATGAGTATTCTTAACAATGTAATCGTAAAATTAGACAATGCTATTAGATTCATGTAAGTGTGTAAAATTTATACTGCCCATAAAATATAAAAATTTTCAATAATGGTGCAATTAGATAAATTGCTTTTGGAGAACTAATCTAAAAATAAAAATCTTACTTTAAATCTAGAAGGGCTTTATCAGAACGAATAACAAGTATGAACATATAGTCCACGAGGGTAAATAACCAATCAAGTGCGGCTAAAAGCCACGAAACAAATGCGATGAAAGTCATGAATCAAGCGCAAGCACAAGGCCCACGAAAACAAGCGTGAGTACCATGCTCACAAATAATCGTGCCTCTATTCCACTTGTATTGGTCGTCGCACGTGGCTAGCATCTCCAATGTACCCTGCTAGCTAGGTGCACTATGATGCGCCAAGGGCTAATGGAACTACTGTTAGCAACTAACATTCTGAACTCAGTCCCCCTTAATTAAAACCAAGCATGTATGGAGCAAGAAAGCATTATCAAAATTATCATTTTCAAACACTGTTCAACTATCATTTTTCTTTGCTGAAATTTATTTTTATTTCCTCAATACACGAATAATTGCATAAAAAAATTTATCAACATAGAATTAAATAATTAAACTACTTCTGAAAAATAATACCATTTGTCGTATATTCATTTCAATTATTACTTATCAACAATATAAATTAGTAAAATCAACGCATTTTCAATTAACGGGCCACAATGTGCCATCCATGGCCAAGAGAATAAAGGAGGAAGAGAAGGACACTTCAATTGGAAGGGAAATAGAGAGATGGAGGAGCAAAGTTTATTCTTTTAGTTGTATTTCAAATGGAGGAGAAATGAAAAATATATACATATGGAACCCAAACAACGATGGTGATGGTGGAAGGAGAAGAAAGGTGAAAGCTTTAAGTGATATTTATATTCCACATCAGTTAATTTGAAATGGACATGGAAAAAGAAGATTTTTCTTAGAAAAAAGTTTTCCATGTCAGTTCCTTTTATGACTAGTGTGGAAAATTTTTTTATGTCATTTTTTTAAAAAACATATGTAAAAGACCTTTCAAAAAATTACAAAAATGCTATGGTCTTTTTTTATATATCAGTTTTAAAAAAACAATGTAAATTAGTGATGTTAGTAGAGAGAGTATTTCGAAAATCTTCTCACAAATTCACATCTTCTACAAACTTGATTTCTCACAATTTTTTTGCTTTAGACAAAATTGAGATTGTCTGCACAATCAAACAATAGAAGGAGAGAGCAAGGCCAGGCAAGAGAAAGAAAAAGTGAAAAAGAAAACCATACCCAAAAAGGAGGAAAATGTATTTTTCTTACCAGTAGTAAGCACTATTTAATTTATATTTTTTTTGGTTGAAAACGTATACTCTTTCAACTTATATTTTTTTTGGTATAAACCATCAAGTATCCTAAGGTATTTTAGGTTCATTATCCGTCCCAAACTAATCTGGACCCCCAGCAAGGAGACCTTATGGTAGTAGCAAAGTACCGATGAGACAACCTCTCTAGGTCGCATTAATTATTACGTTTGTCACTCTCCAGGGTTCGAATCTTCACCTTGAGAAATGCAGGTAGTAGACCTTGCTAACTCTACTAAGCGCCCATTGGTTCTTTCAATTTATATTGAATTATTGAATTCATTAATATCTTTCATTTTTAGAGGGGGAAGAAAGGCTAGCCCCTCTTCATGGGCTTAGCCTAAAAAGCCCAATTAACCCAAAACCATGCCATTTGCAAAGTTTGGCCCTTAAACTCATGGGTATCATGTCCGTCTTGAGTGCTGCAAGCCCCTTTAATCATTTTGAAAAACTTATTTTTTAAATAAATATATGAAAATAAAAATTATAAATAATTAAACATTAACCAATTCAAAAAAAAAAATCATTGTTCAAATTTTCAAAATCAAACCAAACAAAGCTAAATAAACCAAACAAGTCTTCTTTGAATATCAATAAAACAATAATACAAAAATATTAGCAACAACATCATGATTGTTATCATTTTTAACATCAATAATATTTGATTGTATTTCATTTGAGATGGCTCCTCAGTGCCAAAAGTATCAAAATTTCTTGTTTATATAGGCTAGTGTTCTTTTTTTAAACTTCTTTATAACATTTTTCCTTTTTCTTATATTTGTACTTTCTTCCTCCTCATTTATGAAACATTAATAAATTTTTATAAAAAAATGTATACAAGCCAGGCTACTTTTTTTTAAGACAAATTTTTCAGAACAAGTCTGTTTAAGTGCGATTAAACATCGACGAGCCCAAATTTCAAGCCTGGCATTCTATTTACTGTCCATTGTTTTAAAATGTCAAGCTGCATTTATTAATGGGCGGTTGTGGTGGGGCAATGGTTGAAGGCAGAGACTCAAAGTTATCTTTCGTTATTAATGTCCGACGAAGACAACATACTCACTCCGATTCAAAATAAAACAATTTTCCTTAGCTAATTTTAATTTAAAGTATAATCAACTTAGTATATATGAAATTTTTTTATCATTTTATTCCTTATATATATATTAATGTAAATATTTGTGTAAGTGTATTTTTCACTTATTATGAAATATTTTGGTAATTTGAACTAGGGATAAAAAGAAACAATAATATATATTTTTATGATAAAGAAGACTTTATTGATATGCAAATTTTTTTAAAAAAAACTTCTTATATTTTGAACCGGAGGATACTTGTGTTGGCTGAATTTTCAAAACTTGAATCACCTCTATTTATATTAATTTATTGTACATATTTTATACAAACTTCTTGCAAAATTCAGAGAGACGAAGAAACTAACATGAATTTTCAAAATTAAAAACTTATTATAAATCCTGGCTATTTATAAATTTTTTTATCATACTTTCTTATAAAATTCAGAAAAATAACAATAAATCTCATCATGGATACTTTTAATTTTTTGTATTACACTCTTAAAAAAGATCTAAGATGATCTTTATTATAGAAAAAATTAATAAGAAAATTCTTAAACAATTATGAGAAAATCGCCCTAATTGGTAGTTATAGTCTTCATGAGGACAATGAGATTGCGTTTTTCATTCTTCCACCATTGACTCTTTTTAATTAATTTACAAATTCACAAATATTGCCCAGTCAAATAGGTCGGTGCTAATTGATTATTTAATCCATCTCTAGGGTGCGATGTGAATTAAAGCTTAGAAAACAGACTAGTGATCAACCTTGTTTTTCCCTTTGTCTGGCCTTCACAATGATACATGAAATCTTCATAATCACCTTCCTTGGCCTTTTTCTTCTTCTATCATATTTTCTTAGAGCTTTCGATCTTCCGATCTCCATCGACCACAGTCCATATAGTGATTCCTGTGGACTTGTCTTCCACGTGTCTACTGATTCATATAATCTCGGACCCTGCAGCGATCCTAGTTACGAACTAGTCTGTGAGAAAAACAGAACATTGTTACATTTAATCTATGGAAGGCACTTAGTTCAGACCATTTATGCCATTAACTCCACCACCGTCAAATCCATCGCCGGTGGAGTTGACGATGACAACTGCTATGCAATCACTCGTCATTCTCTCCCATACAGCAACTTCAGCCACGTTTTCTCTGACAAATATTATTCTTCTGTTGTGGGTGGATTAGTGTTGTTCAGCTGCGAAAATCCAGTTCTCTCTCTAAGTGATAATGATGCTGTTGTGCAGTTTTGTTCAAGCAGTGAAGAGCCAAAAACGCCTTATTCTTATTTGCTGAAGGCACAGGATCTAAGCGTATCTGCTGTGGCAGAGTCGTGTAAAATAGATTTGATGGTGAAGGTGTCGCCATGGGGACCAATGACATGTAATGAGAATTGTTCATATCCACAAGTTCAGAGCGAAGAGATTAAAGGGATTGAGATCAAATGGCGACCAAATCGTTGTGGCGTGTGGGAAGGAGAGAAAGGTAATAACTGCCGGTTTGAAAATACCACAAATATGGTTCTCTGTCATCCTCGGATTGAAGAATTTGGTGTTTCTGAATTTCTTTTGGGTATGTATTTTTGGGAAGAAAATAAAATACCGAAAACTGTTATTTTCATGATGATTATCTAATTGAAACTTTGTATGTTTGGATTTTGGCAACGCAGAATTGGTTTCGAAGTGTCTATTTGCAGGTGAGCGACGAAGCATACCTTTCTCCTTGTGTGAAAATTTCTGAATCCTTCATTTTCATTATTCATGCTTTAATTTCTGATACTTTATAGTCTAAACCCATAAACGATTTTTTGTTTTTGTTTTCACTTTCTGTTTTCAATGTTAAAGACATAATTTATCCTTTTGTTGATTATAAATGAATAGATGTGGAAAGAGCAGGTTTAGAAGAACGATAAAATAACTAGGAATTATACAACTTATTACCAAGATTTTACTCAATAAATTACTTCTCAATTAACAATTAAGGATTGATCTTGGGAAACAACTTCTTGAAAAAGTTTCATTTTTTAAATAAACCAAAAGTAGTAACAGTTTTATTACATATCAGGAACCTTACGAGGACTAGAACTATGCAAGCCTGTGTAAAATGACTTCTAATAGTCAGCTTTGATCTATGTGCTAAACAAATAGATCTGACCATTTAAATCTTCACAATATATGAATAATTGACTTGTCAGTGCTAATGTTCAAATCTCTTGCCCAGTGACGCTCTGGTCTGCAGCTAAATTTGTACTAGGTGCCCCGTGTGCTTTTATATTCTTGATTCGTCGATGGAGGAGAAGGCATCAATCTTATGATGACAATGTTGAGGACTTCCTCCAAAATAATAGCAATTTGATGCCCATAAAGTACTCTTACTCAGAGGTCAAGAAAATGACTAATGGCTTCAAACACAAGTTAGGTGAAGGAGGCTATGGTTATGTCTATAAAGGTAAGCTTCGAAGCAATCGTGATGTAGCTGTCAAGTTACTGGGAAAGTCCAAAACCAATGCACAAGATTTCATCAGTGAAGTCGCCACTATTGGCAGGATTCATCATGTCAATGTGGTGCAGCTAATCGGGTTCTGTGCTGAAAGAAACAAGAGAGCTCTTGTTTATGAGTTCATGTCTAATGGATCTCTTGACAAGTACATTTTCTCAGAGAAACAGCGGAACGCGTTGATCAATTTTGAAAAAATATTTAATATTTCTCTAGGGATTGCCCGAGGAATTGAATATTTACATCGAGGATGTGATATGCAAATTCTACACTTCGATATCAAACCCCACAATATCCTACTTGATGAGAACTTTAATCCAAAAGTTTCAGATTTTGGATTGGCAAAGTTGTATCCATTAGAAAATAGTATTGTATCTTTGACAAATGCAAGGGGAACATTTGGATACATGGCGCCTGAATTTTTGTACAAGAACATTGGAGGGATATCACACAAATCTGATGTTTATAGTTTTGGGATGTTGTTGATGGAAATGGCTGGGAGAAGAAAGAACACGAATGTCATTGAACATTCTTGGCAAACATATTTTGCCAAATGGGTCTATGACCAATTTGAGGAAATAATAGATGAGGGTAATACCTCTAACGAGGAAAGGGAAATTGCAAAGAAGATGATTACAATAGCTTCACATTGCATACAAATGTATCCTGGTGATCGACCCTCGATGAAGGAAGTGATAGAGATGCTTGTGGGAGAAATTGAGCTCCAAGAAGCTTTGCCACCCTAAATTTTATGTAACTTAATTGCCAAGAAGGTTTATGAAAGAGGATAAGGGACTCATGACAATTTGAGTTTAGAAAGAGTTATTATTTGCAATAAACATGTAAAACTACTATAATTGTTAGCATGTTTGATGTTTTCTTAGCATTTTGATTTACTGGACTATAGGCTTTGAGAAGAATCACATAGACATCCATTAAGATTCATCTGTAGTTATGGATTTTGAAAACAATTGGATCATTTGATGACATAATTGTGATCGACAGTTTATGTATATGTTGATATAATTAATCCAATAGGTCTTCCAAAAAAAAAAAAAAAGGAGCGAGTACGGAAGATAGAACTAAGCTCCACATTTTATTTCATATTACAATTTATTTTCTATCCTTTGCGTGGAAACTCCAACTTGGGTTGATTAATTGGTAATGTTGGGATGGTTGATGGGATTCTTCATGTCAATTGGAAAGGGATTCCTAGAAAGGATTTTTTTAAATCATCAATAATAGTAAAATAGCTTGTGTGTATTGAATGCTTCTTTGGTATTTTGATCGTTTAGCATGATTATTGCCATTTGGTCACGCCTAACATGTAATGAATCTTAACATGTATATGAAATTGAAGATGAAAAGTGTCACGCCCCATAAGTAGAGTGTGACTGGCACGGGTGTGAACCATTCACATATTCCCATAAGCCATAATGAACATTTATTCAATTTTACAAAAGAAAAGAACAAAATTAATCAAATTACATGAGAATTAAAATAATTCCTTTAAACTCATTATCATAAGAAAGTGTCGACATTTTTGTAGGAATTTCGGCAGAACCTCCTCTGTAATTAGGATCTTTCGAAAATTCTTACAACAAATTTTTTTACAGATAATAGTATAAATCAGGAGTGTAGCTCCTTCTAGCCAGCAACCAATATACAAACCAAAACAAAGTTTATCAATAATCTATGTGGAGCATCTAATCTTTCTTTTAAATCAAAAAAAGACATACGAACTACATATTTACATTAAAAGAAACAATACCAATCCAAAACTTTCACCCATTGTAGCTATTCTACCCTTTTGAGGTTGAAGGCGGGATCGGTGTCAACTAACAAATCTGAGGTCAAAATAATTTTTTTCAATAAAATTCTTAAAATTTAAATCAACTATTTCTAATAATGGTGTCAGCTAATTAAAAGTAATTCCACCAAAAATTATAAGCATGTAAGTCATAACCATATTTGTAAAATAAGAGTAAATTGAAAATAATTTATGTTATCATGCTTAAAGAAAACAATCTGCTCACATATAACTCAAAGTGGTACAAACTGCTAGCCAAAATCATGTAAATTTTAAAAAACACATATTAATCAACATTTAAAATCTTGAGAACTCAACAGAACAGGTTACAAACATGGACACTCAGTTCACGAGGGTAAATAACCAAACACAGCTTATGCCACGAAAACAAATGTGGACACACCAGTCCACGAGGGTAAATAACCAAACGCAGCCGGAGCTACGAAACAAATATGGACACACAATTTACGAGGGTAAGTAACCAAATACGGTTAGGCCACAGAATCAAACGCGAGTACAAAGCCCATGAATACCAAACGTGAGAATAAAACTCACGAAACAAACTAGCTAGTGTTTAACCATAGCGCGCTACAGGCTAACGAAACTGTCATTAGCAGCAGTGTTCTGTTTCGAGTTCTCTTTAAATCATGCTTCAAACATGCGAGAAAAATAATTATCATTTAAATAAATTATCATTTTTACCGCCAAACTCGCATGAATCGTTTCAAATTCAACATTTGTCAAAATCATAAATTTGCATTAATTAAGTATTTAATAAATTTCAAATTTTAACAACCATACAAGAATGCTTTCATCAAACTTGGAAATATATTTTCAAGATTCAATAAATGCACCTATCATAACTCATTTGTCCTTCATTGATATTTTATAATTTTCAAAATTAATGTAATTCATAAGAATAAAATATTTTAGGAAAAGACTATTAAAAATAAAAATATATTAAATGGAATGCTATTCACTTACTCGTCAGAGCTTCAAATTCTTAAAGATATCCTCTCCTTTAATTCTAGTCAGGGCCCCATTCTTCCTTATGCCCTATCAGGATATAAATAAATAAAATTTTTAAACTAACTCCAAATCAACCATTATCATTTAAATTTTCAAAACCAGCATCATATTTAGAGTTGATCCAAGTGTTATCATTCACATCACTAATCCCCACCAATTTGTTTTAGTCAAAACCATCCATTCATAATTCCATAGCTTCCATACTAACATACTTCTCCTGCCAAATATTATCCTTCATACTTACAACCTTCCCCATTCTTGAGGTAAAAATTTTTCATAGGTTTTGCACTAATTACTTTAGGTGCATATATTCTAATTATTTAAATTATATATCCAAACTACTCTCTTCCCACCCTTCCTTAATAGTTTCTTTAACCATATTCAATTCAAATTAGATTTATTTAGCTCCAAGGATTATGACCCACACACACACACACGCACACACATATATTTATCAAATTTTAGAATAAACTTCCAACTTAAATTTGAATCTTCTCCCTCCTATAACAGCACGGCACAACAATAACAGAAGGCATGCATAATATTTTTTTTCTCAGCCACGTACAGTCATAGACAGCCACAGGGGAGCCAAATTTTTTGCCACTTTAATCACCAGTTCACATGTATGCAAAGCAAGATAAGCCTAAACGTGAAGCTTTCTCACCTTGACTCACCACGATAGAAAACAAGGATGAAGAAACTGAAACAATCGGTTGAACAGGGGAGATATAATCCAAACATTGTCACCATGCACAGTAATGGAAGGAGCTTGACTCCACAGCACCGATATAAGCTTACAGCAACAGCTCCACTCTAGTTTGATGCTTTGTGATTTCTTAGCTCAAAACATACGGATAGAATAGCACGCAGAGAGGACATAGAAATAGGGAGAACATAACAGTAAAGTAGAGCATAAAGCTCACAATTGAGCTGGGTAAGGAAAGCCTCGTGAAAAAAAACCTTCTAGCCTCAATGATTTGGTCCTTTATTCCATCCACAACTCAAAGGTGAATGATGCAAGGAAAGCAACAGATTGAGAAGGAAAGAAAAACAGAGTCCGCACGCATAAAGGAGCGTTTGAACGTCACTAAGCAGTGGGAGCCTTCTTTGTCGCCAGTGATAGCCAGGAGTAAAAACGAGAGAGATCGTCGGTTACGGTAGAAGGTTGGAGAGCAATATTGAACACGCTCGGACTCTGTGCGCGCGCGCGCACCAACTAGATAAGGAAGAAGTAAAAGAGAATTTATGAAATGAGGAAGAGGGAATTATGGTATTTCATATAAACTAAAACCAATAGAAATAAAATTCCTCTTTGTGCTCCAGAGATTTCAAACTTTAGACCTTTTACATATAGGCTTATATAATAACCACTACACCAAGTCTTCTTCTTGTTGCATATGTTCTCAAAAATTAATATTATTACTATTAAAACACCAACTTATATATCCTTATTATTATTATTATTATATTTATTTATTTATTTATTTATTTATATATATATTTTTTGGGCTATAACAAAAAGTAGCAGAATGATGCACAGAAATATGTTTTACCACAAGTGTGCAGTTCGTAATTAGTAAGTAGCAAATTAAGGTCGATCCCATGAGGAATTAAGTTAATTGATAATTAGGTAATAAAGTCTCCATTTTTATTTAAGTTGAACAAAACAAGATATGGATTTGATTTTTGCAAAATAAGGATTAAAATTAAAAAAATGCACTAAAATTAAAATTCCAACAACCACAAACAATTAAGGCAACCTAGGGTGGCTAATTCCTTTTTCAATTCATAGAGCATGTAATTACCTAAATAAATTCAATTAATATTAACTTGTTAATCTAGAGAATAATTATCTTTTGATTAATTACATCTCTCTCTTAAATTAATATGCTATTCCTAACATAATTACCCAAGAGGCAAAAAATGCATAAATCCACTCTAATGTGATTATATGAGTCTAATAGGTATATTCCTATCCTATTGGCAAATTAGAATAAATTCTAATTTCATATTACTCAATCTAATAGTCTAATTCAGATTTTCCTCTTCCAAGGCAAACCTAAACCCCCAAATTCACATTCAATGATGGCCAAGCATTAAGTAGACAAATAAGCACAAGATTAAGTAAATGAAACTAATATTAAGCTCAAGTAAATGGTCCAAACATACTCTAATTCAAGAATCAGTTCATATCTACCTAGATTAAGAGAAATTTAGTCATACATGGCTTCCATGACAGCAAAATCAGCAATATATATAGAAAAATAAAGAGAAGAAGGAAAAGAAAAGCTTAATCGGAGCAATCTTAAGCGAAACCTTGATTTTTCAATAAACCCAAGTTTCTTCAACCCTTCTTTGGCTCCTTTGCTCTTCTTGGATGTTCTACAACAGCTGGAGGTGAAGAATGCACGAAAATGAGGTGCCTAAGCCCTAAAAATTCACTAACAATCAAAACTATATGTTTTATTAAAATCGCGAGTGCTTTACTACAGCGAAACATGTTTTCACTGCAGCGAACTTGACTTGTTTAGATTTTTTTTTCAGATTTAATTCCTTTAACTTGGGCTCTAAAATTTTCTTCTTTGAGCCCTTAAATTGGGCTTACCTACATGCATAAAACTCAAAATTAATATTGAAAATTGTCCACTAACTTCTAACACATTTTCAAGCCCATTTTCACACACATTCATCCACTTAATCATATTTTTGCCAAAAAATTTAAATAAATGACTTCCAATTGTATTAAAAACATCAATAAATTCAATAAAATATTGGAAGTCATCATTAAAAAAAAAATATACATCACACCCAAAACCTCAAGAACAAATTAGCGAATCACAATGGAAAAATGTCTCATTTAATTTAAAATCTCAATATTTCAATTTATGAATTTTTTCATTTTAATATATACTCCTTGCGGTCCACACTATAAGACAAAATTTTAAAATATATTTTTTAATATAAGTCAAAGTTAGAGCAATTAATATTTTTTTTCTAATTTTACCATTATTTATTTTTTAAAACTACCATATTAAGGATATAACTACTTTTTTTTAATAAGTGCAAAATTTGTTAACTGCTTTATATCAAGGACCAAGGAGAATATTAGCTATTAAGTTTAATTTTATTTAATATGAGATTTCTTATATTGACTTTTAAGTTCACTCCTGCTTGATAAATATCGTAGCTAATAATTTTATATATTATTTGGTGTCTACAAAATAGAAATATTTAACTTAATTACTACGAGCCAATCTTATTTTAT